TAAAGAACAGGACGTCGGTAAGGGTACATAAGGGGAACAGTCTTACTTTTACTTAAGCTGTGGACGTATTAGCATAATTGTAATGAACAAAGAGAAAGAAAGAATTAGTCCCTGTAACAAAGATAAGTCAGTTCAGTTCTTTTTTTTTTGTTTGTGCTGACAGAAGTTCCCAGCGGCCAATTCAATAATTCAGTTGAATTCAGTTTTTTATTATTTATGTGCTGAGTCAACAGTCACAAGGCCAATTACAGAAACAGCGCGGTGTAGATACTATTAATACACTACAGACAAACAAAAGCATGGAGACAGCCACAGGGCCAGTTTAGGAAACAACGCAGCGGAAAACCCACTACTTATACCTTACATAACAAAGAAAATCATAAAGGCAATAAAGTATTACGAAGAAAAATTATACCAATGAACTGTAAGACGGTTCTGAGAGAACCAATACAAATGATTAGTAAAAGTAGCAATTTAATAATAATAATAATAATAATAATAATAATAATAATAATAATGTCACGTATAAGGGGTTAGCGTGACGAATAATTGTGGGTTCTAAATTCGGTGACTGGATTTATTGGACTTCTCTATTACAATTACACATGATTATAACAGCTCACACACTGACGTCTGTCCTGCGAATCTCTCACTGCTGCATGAATCTCGGACTGATCTCTAGTCTCTAGTCTCTCTAGCCTCTAGTCTCTAGTCTCTAGCCTCTAGTCCACTACCACTCAGTACGACTCACTCCTGCGAATTAATTACGTGTCCTTTGTAACCTGATGAGGACCGCGAACAGATCACACACCTGAACGATTCGTCTGTTATCTGCGTGTTCGTTGCCACGGTAATATTTGTTCAGCAACTTGTTACCCGGTAACGACTCGTTCGTGCTATCTGTTGTAACGGAAACTTAACCGTTTCTCATCAGCGGACATCTGGATCTGGCTCCACTATTCCGGCTTTCAGACGTTATGTCACAATAATAATGTAATAACTCATTGAATGCATGGAATAACAATGAACTGTGATGCGATATTTACCCGTATGTTCATGGGGTATGGAAACTAGTGATATTTGTCGAAGAACTACCGTTCGCTATGGCAATAATTGCATGAGCCAGAGGAAAGTTTATGAACAGATCGGAGGAATGCTGGTGATAGGCACGTTCTGGGCAGTCATCGGCTGAAGAATGCTGAGGTCCAGGGGCAGATTTATCAGCATGTCCGTGACAGTCGAAGAATCAACAATGTTGAAACTGTATTGAGAATAATAGGTGTACAAGAAAGGCTTATGGTACAACTGAGGCAATTGACATGTTTGTAAACCTTTATACTACGTAAATGCATCGAAAAGCTGGATCATTATATAGAAAATAAAACCGCCAAGTCTAACCACTGTGTCAGTATATTGTCTCTGATTTTCTACTAACCTTCATAGTTAAAAATCCCCTGTTCCGAACAACAGAGCTGTAAAAATGGAATTGTTAAATTTTGGCTAACAGTGTACTCCTTCCTCTTTTTCTCAGGATAAAACTTTCGCAGAACATTCGCTAGGAGGCTCTGAGTCGATGGAACCGTGCTGGACGCGTTAGTGCAGGAGAAAGTGACAAGAATTTCAGCTATTTTACTAACCTACTTCATGGAGTTGAGTCCTTGAGAAGCCACCAATTCGTCAGTTACTCAAGAATTTACCAAATGTCATGGAACCCGAAGGTTCATTACCATGTTCACAAGAGCCCTCCACTGATCCCTATCCTGAGCCAGATCAATCCAATCCGTATCAAACCATCCTATCTCTCTATTTTTATATTATCCACACACCAACGTCTTGGTGTACCTAGTGGTCTCTTCCCTTATAGCTTTCCCACTAATATCCTGTATGCATTCATCTTCTCCACCATTCGTGCTACATGCCCTGCCAATCTCGTCCTTGATTTTACCATTCTGACTATATTTGGCAAAGAGTAGAAGTTATGAAGCTCCTCTTTATGCAGTTTCTTCCAACCTATTACCATTCAATCCCTCTTTAGTCCAAATATCCTCCTCAGCACCCTGCTCTCAAGCACCCTCAGTCTATGTTCCTCCCTTAATGTTAAAGACTCACACAGAACTAAAGGCCAAATTATAATTTCATACAATTTAATTCTTATATTTTTAGACAGCAGACGAGAAGATAAGATGTTCTGAACTGTATGGTAGAAAGCATTACTCAAGTTTAATCTGCTCTTAATTTGCTCATAAATCAAATCTTGATTTGTTGCTATCATTCCCAAGTATCTGAACTTCGCCACATTTCCAAAGGATCCATCAGCTGTCTTTGTGTTGTGATTTTACATTCTGGTGGCGATACAGCAACATGTACTTAGTTTAAATATTCCATAACCAGTTTCAGTTAGCAAAGTCGTGGGATGAATCCCACAGCCACATGCTAAATGACAGTGTTTATCAATGGCTACGATGGGGCATGTGGGCCTACAGCAGAGTTTAGTACCATATACGTGATAAGTGTTAATTATAAATAGTCTTAATTATCACGATATTTTTTAAGTGACTTCGTTTCACTTCAGTTTCCTAATCTTAGGACTGTCGGTAGGACTCCTTAGGCGAAGGACCAGCCCATCGCAAGGCCACTATATAAACAGGACAACACAAACAGAACAAATGCAAATATCCATGTCTTGATTGGGATTCGAAACCACGATCCCAATGTTCGAGCGGGCGAAGACATTTTATGCCTTAGACCGCGCAGCCACTGTGGTCGGCAATACAGTTCTCGATTACAATGTAATATTATAATATAATATATATAAAATATATTATATGTAATATAATATAATAAAATTATAACGGTATCTGATAGATTCGTTTCTATCTTCTTCCATTTTGTACACTTCTTCATCTTGATAACAGCTATCACTGCCATTAGCGCCTTCGCAGTTTCGTTAATTAGCAGACATCGGTATCATCGCCTTATTCTTCTTGACGGATTAGGCCGTCTTGACTGTTCGCGTTCGTAATTAATCCGTTGCTATTAATCTTAGTACCAACTTACAGGACTTCTTGGAAGGTCGCTAGCTATACAGGACGACAGCAAAACAGAAAAAGTGCAGACGTGCATCCATGCGTTGAGTGGGATTCCAACCCACGATACTAGTGTTCAAACTAGAGAAGACCGCGCGACCACTGAGACCGGCGACATCATTGCTTATGTTTTTCTGTGAAGATCCTGAATAGGCTTAATAGCTTGTGTTGCTGTTAGGTTGGAAGTTCAATCGGAAACCGGTCTGCGCCAGAACACGTTTTTTACACAAACATCTTTGTAGATTTTCTAACAGAGTTGATATCTGACAGGCGGACGTTAGGCAGTGAGGTCACCTTCTCTAGACTTTGGTAATTTACACGTACAAGTAAATTTCCTTAGCCTATGATTTTCGCTAGTTAAGAGCCACGTGCCATGACTTAACACAAGCGACATTTATAGCCAGAAAGGAGAAGTAAACTATTTTTAGTCTGGAACCACGCTAATAGAGCAAGATTGTCCGAAGCATTTCCGAGACGCTCCGAACAAGTAATTATGCATCAGTGATTACATAAGAAAATATAAGATTGTTTCGTTCAATTTGTGTGAGTTGACACATGTTTCTTTATTTAATTATTTTACTGAGGAAGGCTCGGAGCCTCTTGCAGCTTCTCCGAAGTGTATTGATATATTACTATGGATCCACTCTTAGAGGAACGGACTAAAGAGAGAATTTAAAACTTTCACATCCTAGAATTCTGAACTACAGAATATTTCTTACGTTGGAATGAGGTAGAGTTTGTTCCTTGTACTACGATGGGGGGAACTTGTTGCAGTTTCTCGTAGTCTTTGTCGTCAAAAGACTATTCATTCCACTTACCACAATTTTACTTTGTAAGGTATTAAGTAAGGGCGGCCGCACACCAACTGCGTCAAGACAAGCATCAAGACACGAGACAAAAGACGCAATCTTGCTTCATTCGTGATTCGAGAGCATCATGACACAGACCGGTGTGCGGGGGTTTTCATAATCTCATTCATTTCAACTGTGCTCCTTTCTTTGCGTCATGTCGCAGACATCGTATCTTGACTGTTATATGTCTTGACGCATGCCGGTGTGCGGCCTACGTGAGAGTAAACTAGTCCCAGAGCTTACGCGTCACGCCATGAAGCAGATGAGTGTGTACATAAAAATCTATGCACCGACTACTTTACTCCCGAGCTAAGAACCGGTTCTATTTGATAGGAAGTTGGCTGAGTCCGTGCCAGTTTTGGAGGGGCAAGGAAGAGAGAAATTGTACCTTGCCAGGAATCGAAGTAACTTACTGCGGTATTATTTATTTGTGTTCCTTATTTTTTCAGATTTGAAGAAAAACAGCTTGACTTTTGCAGTAAGAATTCGGATATTTCTAATATTCCTGAAATTGTTGAACATTTAGCACTGAAGGAACTATAAGTAAATACCAAAGGAAATCGTACGTTTTTTTGTTTCAGTATTACATACTCGTATATCGGACCGCCTGTGTGGTCAAGTGGTGAGAGTTCCTGGCAACAGATCTACAGGTCCGGGTTCGATTCCCGGCGTTACCAGATTTTCTGAGAAATAGTGGGCCTGAAACGGGGTTCACTCATGCTCGTGAGGATAATTGAGGAGCTGTTTTAAGGAAATAGCGGCTCCGGTCTAGAGAATCGAAATTAACGGCCGTGAGGATTCGTTCCGCTGACCACGCGACGCCCTCTATCCGCTAAAAGTTGGCACTAACTTCGCCGACAAGTGGCGGTCGCTCGGTCGGTATAGTTCGCTTGTGAACTAAAACCATGGAGTTAATTTTTTTCATTACATATATCGCAGTTGTTTTATACCGGGGTTTAGCTAGTAATTTCTGTAAGTGAATGCTCTATGGACAGAGGCTTTTAAACAAATATTATTCGAACATGTGTTAATTGCTAACAGAAACACAATGGTCTGGTTGCAGGTGAAGGCTGTGTGGAGAAGCCGCTGTCAACTCTGTGGAAGAATTACACTGGCAGTTCCAAGCCGGACGTGCAAATGAAGGTGACCGTGACCCAGGCGGGCCTCAAGGCCGTCACAAAGGAACACGGTCTTACAGAGTACTGGAGTCATCGCATCACGTACTGTGCAGCCCCGGCCTCCTTCCCACGAATTTTCTGTTGGGTGTACCGCCACGAAGGGCGGAAGCTGAAACAAGAACTTCGATGTCATGCTGTGTTGTGCTCTAAAGAGGCCGTAGCTAGACGTATGGCATCTCAGCTAAAGGCCAAACTAGCTCAATCACTTTCAGAGTTCAAACGTGACAAAGTGTGTCGACAGAATGCTCGACTGTCTCTTGCAAATTCTGTTTACGAGAACCCTTCCTTACCACGGAGGAAGATTCTTCTATCAACAGGCTCTCATAACTATAGACCTCCACTTGAAAGATCAAAATCAGCTCCTAAATTGATGGTAATCGAAGAAAGTATTGAAGAAGGAGAAGAAGAATATACAGATCTACCAAGAGACCATGTTAATAGACTGTACAAAGACGCCAGTGTTCTCATTAGGTTAGAAGAAGTGCCTGGCGAGGAAAAGTATCAGGACCATCCAAAGGGAACTGAGAATATGACTCAGAGGTGCAATGATAATAATGATGAAAGAGAACAAAGTGATAGTCCGACATCTCGAGGGACAGTGAGGCGCCATGATAACAGTGATGAAAGAGAGCAAAGCGATAGTCCGGCAACTCGAGGGACATTGAGGACATTGAGGCTCCATGATAACAGTGATGAAAGAGAGCAAAGTGATAGTCCGACATCTCGAGGGACATTGAGGCGCCATGATAACAGTGATGAAAGAGAGCAAAGTGATAGTCCGACATTTCGAGGGACATTGAGGACAGTGAGGCGCCATGATAACAGTGATGAAAGAGATCAAAGTGATAGTCCGACATCTCGAGGGACATTGAGGACAGTGAGGCGCCATGATAACAGTGATGATAGAGAGCAAAGTGATAGTCCGGCAACTCGAGGGACAATGAAGGAGAGGGGTGTAGTTGAGAAAGAGGTGAATGACATGTCATTTGATAAATGTAGCCGACTGACTAGTGTTACAATGGGTGATAATGAGTCGGGTAATTTAGAAGGAAATAGTTTGTCAGTGTACAGGTTTGAAAACAATCCAGAACACGTCAGTGATAGGGAAACAGCATCCAGTCATGGTTTGCCAAGGTTCAGAGGATCAGGACATGAATTCAAGAGAAATGTGGTCTCGAATTTAGAGACTAGGAGTACAAGTGAGGATGGTGATAGTTGGAGAAGAAATGTAAGTAATTATCACACCGAGAGATTATTGGTTATTGGTTCCTGTAAAGATGGTGATGTCCGACGATGTATCCCAATATCGGGAGGAGTGAATCAAGAAGGAATTAGGAACAGTCAGAGGGAATTTGAAAGTGATGAAGGATCGAACAGTTTACAAAGCATTTCTAGCAGTGCAAGTTGTAGTTCTGACAACTCATCTCGTGTTTCTTCGGATCTTACGCCTCTTGTCTCTTACATATATGAGGACTCAGAAATTCAGACTACTGAAGATGAAGTGGAGGTTCATCTGCATCCCACAGGTGAATCTGCTGCCTCCAATTTGGATCAGCTGTCGGCTCAGTTGAGGCGATCGGCGACTTTTCCTCCACCTTCAGCGCTTGTTTATGCCAATGGGGGTAAGAATGATGATTCTATTCATAATTTTAGCGGAGAAATTTATACCATTTGATAGTTTTAATTTTAAGATTATTTCCCACAAAAGTCTGAGTCATATATTTTTATGATATTTCACTAGACTTAAGTGACTGAAAATGGCAAAGGTACTTTTTTGAAATTAAATATGAACACAACCTGTTCATTTAAACTAGTTGTTATGTTAAAAATAATGGAAGACGTTTTAAAATGAGAGAAAAAAGGCATTCAGTCTAATATGCAAAAAAGTGGGTAAATGGATAGAACTGCACAAATATAGTTCAACAGAATATGGTAAGCAAGTATATATATTGTCACGTGTTTGGTGTGTGTCACGCGACAAATAACTTCACGCCGTCCTGGATCAAGCGAATTTATTCCACTCGCTCTTACAATTACACAATTCACAATTTCACAACTACTGCCATCTGCAGTATCACACTTGCTTCTCCTGCTGGAGTCACTGCCATTCACTCGATACAACTCAATAACAATGGACTTCAACTCACTCCGGCGAATGCTAGACTGCACTGACTCGTTACTCCAAGTCACATTGCGACTGATGGACCGTCAGTCTGTCTGTCTTGGTGTCGAGCCCCGGCTGGGGCTCATGACCGGATTTTTTTATTTTTATTTTTTTCTTATATGAAAGTTACTGTCCTGTTCATTTGGGACGCCCTCTCTGACGAGAGGTCCGGTCTTTCATTTGTCAGTCATAGTCCGTATTACACTGACGAATACTTCTCGTTGTGTAGCTTCCGAAATGACAAGTTTCCATTGCATTGAAAGACGCTTTGATTCTGGTTGGTAGTTATGCACCTATGATTCGTCTCCAGTAACAGTCCTGTTAAGCATATCTTCTCCTTCATCTGCATACCGTAAGAGATGTGCCAAGGACAGACCCATGCCGTTAATTTTTCTCGATATTTCTCCTTCAGTTCTCTGGGCACCCACCGTGCGCACTCATTCTGGAACTTCACCGATCATGCGGTATGCTGCATGCTAAACGACGGGAACACCCTAGTGCAGTTGCTAGACTGTATGGTTTTCCTGTCTGCTCGAATCAACTCTTCCGCCTGCTTCACAGTTCCTTCTGTCGCAATCTCAGCAGGGCGACCCGGTCGGACATCATCTGCGTCTTTCAGACGTCCTTGAGAGAACTTCTCGACCCAGTTGTGAATCTCTTTAAGCGACAAACGCTTCCCGTTGCAAACAAGAAATATTTCTTTATGAATATCCTTTGCATTGAGTCCTCTTGCCAACATAAAACGCACAACAAAACGCTGGTCTTCAGGAGTGTACTACTCAAGCACGGTCGTCATTTTGACTACCGAAACCGACCTCTGAACATGTGCATGCGCGTCTACTACCTAAACTATCATGTAACTGGAATGTGCTGCTGCCTAGTGATAAACAGAAAAAAATTCCGTGGCTATAGTCCACAAGCTAACTATACCGACCGAGCTACCGCCGCTTGTCGGCCAAGTGAGAGACCGCCTGTGTGGTCTAGTGGTCAGAGTTCCTGCCTACAGATCCAGAGGTCCGGGTTCGATTCCCGGCGCTACCATATTTTCTGAGAAGTGGTCGTTCTGGAACGGGGTCCGCTCAGCCTTGTGAGGATAACTGAGGAGCTACTTAACCAAAATTAACGACCGTGGGGATTCGTTGCGCTGACTTCGCGACACCCTCTATCCGCTAAAGTTGGCTGCCAAGTGATACACACAGAAAACCTATTACGTCCATTACCGCTGTTTTACTTCCATTTGTAACCTATTTACTGACTCTTCCTTATATGAAGCAATGGTAGAATGATTATTTGCAAGGGAAAACTGAAGAAATTCAGAGGGAAACTTGTCCCAGTACCACTTCATCCAACATGAATCTCACATTTTAAGTCATGTGGAGTTAAACCCGAGGATCTAGGAAGAGAAACCAGCTTCTAACCTCCTGAGCTATATCATGGCTCCAAGATACAGTGCATAAAGCCAATGCTGTGAGCCGGGATAGTACAGTCAGTATAGCGACTGGCTATGGGCTGGACAGCCGAGGGTTCAGATTTTGAATAGGGGCAAGAATTTTCTCGTATACATGTCGTCCAGACTAGCTATGGGGCCCACCCAGGCTCCTATTAAAAATGGTTACCGGGGGTAAAGCGGCCGGGGCGTGAAGCTGACCACTCACCCCCAACTAGTGCCGAGGTCAAGAAACATTGATCTGTACATCCACTCCTCCATATGCCTTTATGGCACAGTATTTTTTAGCTAAGCACACCCTTTTGGGCTAATTTTTTAACAAAGAAGAGAATTAATGAATGTTATATTGAGATCGGTAAAGTAGACTTCATCTTTTGTTTATAATTCATCCTGTTCATGCAGTTTAGCGGTCATTCTCCACAGAATGAATTGACATTGGAATATTGAAGTTGATGTACCAAGTCCAACATGGTGAAGATAATTCACAGGAAATACCTTACATGATACTGGAATATCTGTGATTGAATGTAGGAATTTGAAACCATATAATGCATTTTGTAAAGTATTAAGTATATAAAAATGCATAGGTATTGAAAAGTTATTGGAATTTACATATAAAATCTAGTAGCAGTACATGCATTGATTTCTAGAACTGAAACATATCTTCAGTACAGTATAGTATTACTGTAAAGAGAAACGTTATCAGTGCCTGTAATAATTATTAGATTACTTTTAATTTTGCCCTTTTCACGTTCATAATTTTGACGTTACGATTTCAGGACCACTACTGAACTACCCAAGTAGAGCTGGTAACAAAATAATTACAAATCTTCTTGTCCATGAGAAACAGTAAATATTTTTGTAAAATATGTTTGTGGGATGATATCAATATTTTCTATGTTTAAATTGAATCTGCTAATCTCAGAGCATGATCATATTGATGGTTTACAGTTTCAGTGATAAGTTATAGGCGAACTGGTTCATGCAGTGAAGTCTTCTCAAGGGATCAATATCATTGACAGAAAGTAAAAAATATAACGATTCCAAGACTGCCTTGTCATGCCATGAATTACACAAAATGATGAATATATATATATACAAACATGAATGTGTATACATAGACGTTTTGGAGCCAAGTATTTGTTTTCCAGGCACTGGCCAACAGGAGAGCAGAAATCAAAGTAGAGGGACTGATTTTAAGCCAGTCATGGACCCCTCTGTTTAATGTACTTGAAGGAATTAAGTCCATTTGATGTTTGAGTTTAACAACATTCCACATGATCCAGAGCAAAATGAGTGATTGCTTATTGTCAAACACAACTGCTTCCAAGTTAAGCACATTGAGCATGGTCTGTTATGAGATGGACGACCACTTGCCTCCACACACTGGTCTCTGGTAGGTGTGTTCCTGTTCTGCAAGGGCTGGACTCCAAATTTGTATCACTTGGCACTTTGACCTCTGATGATGAAGACAAAAGCAGTGTCTGGAACGTAGATTGTTTTCTCCACATTGACATTCTGTTTGCCCCAGAAGGTGTCATTGCATTTGCAAAATTTATATACAGAACTGATTTAGATGTAGATTTGGCATACATTACAATATCTGCAGAGATATGTCATAATTACCTGAATGCAGTCATTCATTTTTGACCTGAAGAAAATGATACAGTGCACTTGAGTCCGATGCATGTTTATATTTTCTGGCTTGCCTAAATTACATTTCAGTATGCACTAGAACAATTATTATTTATGTAGCCTCATTATGGTTTTTCACTTGTTCTTAGGTGAGGTCTCTGAGCTTGACTCGCTGTCAGAGGAAGATGATGCGATGGAAACCCCAGGGCAACATGAGGAAGAGGAGGAGAGTGATGAAAGTGGCTATGTAGAACTTATGGATTCTGGAGTGAAAGAATCTGGAGAAAGTACTCTCTCATCTGATAGGAAAGAGACAGATTTGGCCCATCATCAGATGATGAAGATCATCCTCAGAGGAGACAGCCGTAGTTCACATTGCCTGCAGGTGTGATGTCATTTGATTATTATCTAAGGAGTTTTGACGGTTATATTGGTTTTAACACCTTCCCAGGTATCGTGTTGGGAATGTAGCTTACAGTTCACATTTTGCCTTCCTTTAGATATACTGTCACTTCATCAGGATATATAATATATATAATATATTTAATAACCTTGTATTCCTTAATGGATTTCATGCAAAATAAACAAGTTGACAAGCTGTGACTTATTTTAGAGTATCAAGGGCCTTTATAGTTCAGCCAAAGATATCTAATATTAGAATCTTGTTATATTCATAAAAATGTTATCACTGACAGTTGAATTTGAAGGAACAGCATCTGCATTACGGCTTTTTGGCTCTCCTCTTGTCCTTAGAATAAGGTGTCAGGAGTCAGTGTTATGTTTGTTGTCATTAGTCATCAAAGTATTGACACCCTTTCAAAAATTCACATTTAGTATGCCTTTGTTCTGTAACTATATACTTGATTACCAGTATTGCACTAATTCATATACCTTGGGAAATGTTTATTTCCAAAAGATTTTGTGGTCATAATTGTCAATATGGTTACAGATTATGGAAGAGATGAATTTTGTTGCTATTCTTCTGCCCTTCAAGAACAGTTTTATGGTAGTTAAAAAGATTATTTGACAGATGCTTACAGTTAAAATTATGGTATTCTTCACATGGAGAGAATAAAATACCTACAGATTGAAGTGTTATGAAATATGGTACTGAGGAGTAATGTAACCATTTTCTTAACCACTCTGAAGCATATAAAATGGTGGAATAGGCAAAGAAAAGCAGAAATGAAACGGGTTCAGCATGTGACATTATTATTATTTAAAATGACCTTGGTGGTGAATATGAGCTTTCACACTGGAATGGGAAAACTTTGGTTTGTAATTTTATCATAAGTGATTTATGACTTAAATATAATTGTAAAGAACTGTAAAGGGTTCATATCTATCTTTATGAGAGTTTGTGATTTTTTGACTGAGATGCCCAAGTTTTCCCAGTCCTACTTTAGAATATAAGTATGAATACATATCAATTAGGAATCGTACTCATAGCACTATCAATTATTGTAACAGTATTTTGTAGTATTCTTGTCACCACTATTTCTGTACAGAATGTAATGGGAATGGAATCAAAATACAAGTTACTGTATATACTTGTTTTAAATATTTTTTCTTATCTTAATTAGACTTACAGTCAGATTACTGCACAACCAAAGACTCCCATACTATTATGTTTGAAACAGTCATATGGACTGCTCATCCACAGAGTGAAAGCTGTCTGTTGCCAATTTGCTGAGAGCATTACTTTCCTCAGCTCTATATCATTATTTGAACATAGTTACAAACACAGCATAAGGTAAATTAGTTTTCTTCAAATGAAATACACATCTCAATTTGTGTTCCACATTGCCACAGACTACTTGGAAAAGAAAACACATTTTCAAGTTAAAATGAGAACATAATTTTAAATACAAGATGGCTGACATGTGAAATGTAAGGATATTATTAATAAAGCCTTTGAGAAAGTCATGCAGTGATTATCACTGAATGAAATTCACACACAGTAAGATCTGTGCAGTTACCCAGTGCCATACTTGTATCTTACGAATTCTGTCATCATTGTAGATACAGTAGTTTATTTCTTCAGGTCACTCAATATTTACAAATGAAATTATTCAGTTTGTGTTATTTTTCTAACACCTCCTGTATGACGTACAAGTGGAATATTTTATTGCATTGCCTATCCAATTTAATAATCTTCACACAGACTACCTGTTTACAAATTCCATCAAAATACTCACATCTTAGTAGTTTTTTCTACTACATAACAAATGTTAAACTTATTTTGCATTTGTAGTAGTAATATGATTTACTAATTTCATTACAGGAGAACACAGATTGTATACAAATGGACATATAAAACAACCCTGTTTATTCTTGGAGAGTTCCATTACATCCATGACAGACAGACAGATAGATGTGCAAATGGGAGAATATAAATGAAATATCCTTTTTAGCTGACTTTTCACTTATCCATCTCACATTGACATTCTTGAATAGTCCAGTATTTGTTGTACAGGAACAAAAGACTAGCAAAGGCCATGCCATATCACAGTCTGCAGGGACATGGAAACACTGCATGATCGATATTTTTACAGCATACAGTTACGTGGAAATTGTAATTTGAGAAAAAGGTAGTGAAAGATTAGTTCTACATCAGTGTGAACAAGACTTCTTACCTTTCCTTTCAGTTGATGTTAACATGACATGCTGTTGCTCATTGTTTCTCACACGTCACCTTCCTTCTCATACACATTTTATTCCAAGCATTACCCATGAGACTGTCATCCTTCCATGACTCTCCTAATTTGCTTCTAGTAACAAATTTGAATTATTTCCATTGCTTGAATTCATACCTGTGTGTAAGGAGTAAAATAAAGTGTTTCTGCAGACAATATTTTGTTATCTTAGGATTAACTAGGGGGCCTTTAAATTTATCATTCTCAATAATTAGAAGGCATTCTATCCCTATATTTATTTTAAATTAAATTTGGGTTGAAATTATCTTGACAAAGCAGCAGATATACTGCTTGTATCACCCAGTCATGTGAGATTATGTGAAGCATTCTCTTTTGTTGAAAATAAAAATATAAATATCTGTAATCATTCATGCAAATAATAATGCTTTTAATTATTGTTGGGGCATTGCCAGTTTTTTTGTCTGAAAGTAACAGAAATGAAGATCATGGTTGATGAAATGATTATGTTTATCACAGAACATCAACTTTTGAGAAGTACACATTACACTAAATTATACAGTTATGTTTAGCATTGAATGCAGCTTGAATTCCAGAAGTGTGGATGGAAGCACTGAATTTCTTTTTATAAGCATACTGTTAGAAAGATGAAAGTTCTTTTTCTATTATATTATTATAGTTAGTTGCCAAAATGTGAACAATACCCTGTGAGGACTGGGAGCAAGAGATGTGTTGAGTGAACAGAAGAAGACAAACTAACTGCTAACTTCCATGACCTCATCTTGGGAAATATGCCATCTCAATTTGTTTTTCTAAATTAATTCAGTATTAATGCCCTTCTATGACCTTGCATTTACAAGTTATTTTTCGTCCAAAATAAATATGAGCATTTCTCATTTTTCTGAATGTGTGTGACAATAAAGCAGCAACCACTGTGACCTGTAGTAAGTTTCACTTTTTTAGATTGCAAACAATATCACTCATTGTTGCAAACATTGTTCTGATAGTTCTAGAATAAAGGTAATATTACAAATGAAAATTATAGTTGCATATCTGTATTATGGAATGCTTAGTATCATATTTTTCTTCTCACGTGTTAAATCATTTATAAGCAGACTAACAAAAACAGCCATACTATCCCTGGGTTTCTCCTAAAATGAAATATTCTGAAATGGTGGAAGTGCTTATGCCATAAGATATTCACATGAATATACATATATTTCTGACCACCACTTATCTATTTGGAAAAACTTTCCAAATTTTGTGGCATACTTTATTTTGTGGTATGACACTCCATAATGAGTCATCTATTGAGGACCCTTAAAATTCATTGTGGTTCACATAAGAATTTGGTGGCAGATTTAGAGCTAGACTGGTTCTGATTGTCTAGGAACCAGAGAAGAGAGAAGAGAGTAAGAATACAGTACAGTAAGATGAGAGTAAAGAAAGTACACATTTTGCTGCAGTTGTTTTTTTATAGAAACTTGTACAATTCAGTGAAGTGCCCATACATGCACCTAGAAGTAGGGTCGCTGTTTTATTCTACTTTACTCTGCTGTCTTCAACTGCATTAAACTATGCTCTGTGCTCTGCTCTGCTCTGCTGTGCTATGCTATATTATACTATGCTGTACTATACTATACATACATGAATGTTGAATATAGACAATATTATTGAGGAGTACACTTATTAATTTTGTAACAAAATTGAAATATAAACAACTTCATTATTACAACCACCACACAATTAATATGCACCACTGAACCACAGTACTAGTAAAATTGGATACAGTATTATTAATTATATAAATACTTGACATAAAAGTACAATAAATTAGATTATATAAAACAAAAGTTATAATATAAATCAAGAATAAAATTCTTCGATAGATGTTTTACGTCTTCGAGTCAGTCGTTGATTTTATTTTGTTGCGTTCCCACAGACAAATTGGAATATTCTATATTTTGTGTATATATAAAAATGTATTGGAGGCTCATGATGTAGATGTAGCAATATTAATGTTAATTATTTAGTCGGTGCCTCATCTTATGAGTTGTATATTATAACACAACAGGATGCATAAAATGAAAATTGAAATATAAAGTTAAACACACATGCAATTTTATATGGATTATAATTATTTTATAATTTTAAGACTCCTTGTAATTTATTTTATGTTCTTAGACAGTGCAGTGTAGGAAATACTTTACATATGAAGTTTAGGATAAAACTCTTAATTCTAAATTCTCAGTTCTCAATTTCTTGTTTGTTTAATTCAGTTTAATACCTTTATTAAAGTGCTTGACAATAGCTAAAAGCCAAATACAGGCAAGCTCTGAAGAAAGGGATATACATTAATGCAAAAGATTGAATAGACATGAATAAAGAAGAAGAGAAATATCAAATAGCATGGTATAAAAAACTAAATAATGTATATAACAGTCAGGATATGAACGAAATACTTTCAGTACTATTACAAGTGTTACTAAAAGATTTAATAATATCAATTAAAAAAGCTCCTCTGTTAACATTATCAATATATCTGCAGATAACTTTTGATGCAGAAACATATCTGGCTGAGGGACAAATCTTAGAATGATGGCAAACATTAAAAGTTGAAAATTCTCTGACTTAGCAGGTGCATATATATTAAAAGTGTCGAAAATGGACGAGCAACAGAATTTGATCTTGAAGGCACTGTTGAAAATAAAGAAATAATAATTTAATTCAGTTTATTTATTGAAATGCTTGAGAACAGCTGAAAGGCCAGATACAGGCAAGCACCTGGAGGAAGAAGAACAAATTATGAACAGGCATAATTGAAAATCCACAAAGGGGAAACCGAAGTACTCGGAGAAAACCTGCCCCAGCGCCACTTTGTCCACCACACATCCCACTTGACACGACCCGGGCTCGAACCCGGGCTGCTGCGGTGGGAAGCCAGCGACTAAGCACTTGAGCTATGGTGTGACCTGGACAAAAGACGTGAACAGACATATGTGAAAGTACACAAAGGGCATAATACTAATAACTAAATGACATATTTAACATTAGAAGTCTGAACAAAATAAACTCTGTGTTAAAAATATCAATTTGACTGCAGACAACATGTTCAGCTGAAGGAGTAGCCTTAGTGTGATGCCAAATATTGAAATTTGAAAAGTCCCTGGCAGACCTAGTGGGTACCTGTAAACTAACAGTATTAACAGTGGATGAACAAGTTAATTTGTTTACAAAACACTATCAGAAATAAGGCAGCACGGAACTGACACCTGGACTGAAGAGTTGAAAGATTGAGGCTAACTAATATATCATCGTATCTGTTATAGCAAGTGTCAATAAAACAATCTACTATGCTATAAGACTGCAAATTTTCTTTGAATTTGTTCAAGCTTAAACGAATCATTCAGTGTGATTGAGTTCCAAGCAACAGAAGCATGCATAAATTCTTCTGGACTATGGCATTATATAAAACTGTGAGATAGTCAATGGTCGAAAAGTAAAAGATGATGTTACAGAACAAACCTAATATTCTTAGACCTTGTTACTTACTTACTTAATCATGGAGCTGAGCCCTTCTGGAGGAGCTGCCAGTTCTGCAGCTACTCAAGAATTTCCCTGCATTTTATGGAACCCGAAAGTTCATTACCATGTTCACAAGAGCCCTCCACTGGTCCCTATCCTGAGCCATAACAATCCAATCCATACCATCCCATCCTGTCTCTAAGATCCATTTTAATATTGTCCACCCACCTACTAGGCCTTGGTCTTCCCAGCGGTCTCCTTCCTTCTGGCTTTACCACCACTATCCTATACGAATTCCTCATCTCCCCCATTCGTGCTACATGCCCTGCCCACCTCATCCTTCTTGACTTGATCATTCTAATTATACTTGG